CCCTTGTGATGCAGAGGGTGGCATTCCGTTTTTTCCAGCCCAACCTCTAGCCTGAACACCTTTAAACCCTAGATGCCGTGAACCACCCTAACTACTATTCACTTTAAGAACCACCCCCCCCCCCCCAAACACATAAAAGCACAAAAAGACAAGTAATAATAGTAGTAGTAATAATAATAATAATAATATAAAAATATATATATATATATAAACTAATAATCCTAATATATATATATATATATATATATATATAGCCCTTGTTTCAGCCGTGAGCCACCCAAAGCCACCGCTTTTGGCCTGGCTTGCAGGGGGATTTTCGGAGCTTCGGTGCGATGCCTACGAGAGACCCCACTTCGCGACTCACGGCACTTATGAACCCAATTAAAACTGTCCTTGTTTAGGGTTTAGGGTTTAGGGTTTAGGGTCCTTCTAAGCCAGGTATAACCATGTTAGGGGCACTTAAAAGGGGCTTGCAAGTGGGTTGTAAGTGCAGCTATTCCTGGGTTCTAAGTACCAAGAACCTTCAAGCAGGACCCTTCGCGTCCCTCGCCCGGGCAACCCTGGCAACATCAGATCCTTTGAGGGTTCCCTCGTTGCAGCGGAAAGGCCTTAGACCCCCTAAACCCTAAACCCGAAACCCTAAACCCGAAACCCTAAACCCTAAACCCGAAACCCTACACCCTTGAACCCTGAAAACCCTGCAGCTAACCTCATCATGCGCCGGTACTCAGCCTCCACCTTCAGGGGACGGAGGCAGCTGGTGCTCGGGAGGTTTAGGGTTGGGTTTAGGGTTTAGGGTTTAGGGTTTAGGGTTTAGGGTTTAGGGTTTAGGGTTTAGGGTTTAGGGTTTAGGGTTTAGGGTTTAGGGTTTAGGGTTTAGGGTTTAGGGTTTAGGGTTTAGGGTTTAGGGTTTAGAGTTTCGGGTTTCGGGTTTCGGGTTTAGTGTCAACGCCTACCCCTCCTACAGAGGCCCTACACTCCTTCAAGTTCTTCCCCCTGCCCTCCTCCTTCGCCTGCACACCTCAACTTCGTAATAAACCTAAACCCTGGACCCTAAACCCCTTCAGAAACCCTGTAGACATCCTAAACCCCCTTCAGCAAGTCGTACTACTCTGAGCCCAACATCTCTTGAGGTTTCCAAAAGCCCGCAGACCATGGTATTCTTGGGCTACAGAAATAGGTTTTAGGGTTTAGGGTTTAGGGCTAGGGTTTAGGGTTTAGGGTTTAGGGCTAGGGTTTAGGGCTAGGGTTTAAGGGCTACTCTTGTTGCCGCCTGAGCTCATGGTGGCATGCCATGCTCGCCCCCCTCCAGAAAAAGTTTGCCGGCTTACATGGGGATCCTCCCCAACCCTAAACCCTAAACCCTAAACCCTAAACCCTAAACCCTAAACCCTAAACCCTAAACCCTAAACCCTAAACCCTAAACCCTAAACCCTGAACCCCAAACCCTTTTTGGAACCGTAGCTCCAATCAGCCGGGAGCCACGCCCAGGGGACATGTGCGGATATTGATCACCGCACGTTCCGCTTCTGGGTACGGCTAGCCCCAAACCCTAGACCCTAAACCCTAAACCCCCCTAAACCCTAAATCCCAAACCTGCTGGGTTCGGAGGGGTCGTCTTTAGAGTCAAGAGTCGTCGGGGCCATTTGCTTTGTTTGAGTTTGTGTTTCCGTTTGGCAGGGCCTGCTTCTTATGATCCTGAAGATGAAGGCCCATGGTTAAAGATTCCCGAAGCCCTATTAAACCCTAAACCCTAAACCCTAAACCCTACTAAGCCCACAGCCCCTCGCGCTTTCGGGCTTGGCTACATCCGAAGCCAGGGCCTGGCGACTGGGAGACTTGCGCTCTGGGGATGCGGCTCGCTGGGATGAGCAGCCCTCCAGTCGTGCGGCCTCTTCACGTCAGGGGCCACTCGCTGCCCAGTGATGATGGGAGTCCAGCCCAACACCCCTTAATTCAGGAATATGCCACACGTCATGTAGGGCTTCTGAATATGATGTGAGGTATCTTCCTTTTTTGGATAAAGAAACTGGGTAGTGGACTCTCTGGGTGGGTTAGGATAGGTGTACGTTCTAGTTGCAGGCCAGGTTGGGACAGGTCTGCAAGTGCCTGAAATCATGCTGTCACTGTCCTCTTCTTAGAAACCACGTGTGGGGGCAGGGGCTGAGCAGTGTGGACGTGCGCCACAGACTGACGATGGCTTTGTTCGGGGATGTCTACTCCCCTAAACCCTAAACCCTAAACCCCAAACCCTAAACCCTAAACCCTAATTAAACCCTAAACCTAAACCCCAAACCCCAAATCCTCTGTTTGGGTTTCGGGCTCACAAGGCCTAGGACTGCGAAGGGCCCCTGACATCCGCAAGGCGCCTTGCCAACCAGAGCGATGCCAACGGCCAGGGGGAGCCGCCGCACAGGCACCCCGCGTGCCTTTGGGTTTAGGGTTTAGGGTTTAGGGTTTAGGGTTTAGGGTTTAGGGTTTAGGGTTTAGGGTTTAGGGTTTGGGGTTAAGGGTTTAGGGTTTAGGGTGGTAAATTTCGCGAACCAGGTTTCGGGAAGGTGAGTTCGACACCGATCGGCGCTAACTCCCCATATAGGGGTTGGGAGTGCATGCTTGCTTTTTTCTAGACTGAACAACCATTTGAAGGCTCTGCACACCCACAGCAGCGAACCAACATGTTTTACTGTTTGTTAAGGGCCGGCGTCCCGCCGGTGACCCTCCATGAGCCTCAGATTCCCGAAGAACCTGGCCAGAAGCAAACCCTACCCCTCTATAGCCTTGCCATGGCTGACCTTCACTTCCAAGTTAAGCGCTTGCAGCGGGCTCACGCGCATTTGCTCCAGTTGCACCCGCGGTTTATAGCTGGAACCGAAAACACCATAAATGTCAGAGAAAACCCTTAAGTTCGACACAGTGTGTTGGGAGTGTTGTCGCTAATTTCGCAGGGCCTCTTTTCTACGAACTTTTCGGGCGGCCACAACCATGCGCAAGGCATTATTTGTCATTTCTTTCTGGTTTGCGTTGGTTCGAGGCGAAAAAAAAGCTAAGGTCAGTGAAAGCCTTAAGTTCAACATGGGGTGTTGGAACTATTGTAGCTGATTTTGCCAGACAGTTTTTGCTACTAACTTTTCGGGTGCCACACCCATGCGAAATTAACTACCTGTCATTGTTCCTGGTATGTGATGGCTCGAGCCGAAACAAAGTCAAGGTCGGTGAAAACCCTTAAGATCAACAGCAGGCGTTGAACGTCTTGTTGCTAGCTTTCCGGGGTGGTTTCTCTACTGGTCTTTTCGGCTGTCGGGTGACCGTTTTCGGCGCTGTAAATGGGCAATAGCTGTTTGCAGGGAGAATTGTTTTAGGAACTGTTTTTGCTTTGTTTTTTGGATGTTTTATTTGTTTGTTTGGGTCTAGAGTCTAGGGGTCTAGGGTTTATGGTTTTGAGTTTAGGGTTCAGGGTTTAGAAGCCCAACAAAAGCAAAACACGTCCGATTAACAAAACGGAAAAACCCAAAAACAAATAGACCCCCCCCCCCTGAAATCCAAGTGTCAGCTGTGTTTGGCGGCTTGCAGCTGAAAGGGTTGGGACGGTTGGTTGTTCGGGCTTAATCTGGGAGTTAAAGGTGGCTTTGGTAATGATGGCCATGGCAGTGCGTTGTGGGTGGCTTAGATCCCGAAATCGAGTGACTCTGACCCCAAAAAAAAGTAAGAGCCCAAAAAAAAAGTTAAGTTCAACACCGTGTTGAACCTAACTTTTCGGGTCGGAAATCCTACGTGTTTTGGCTGTTTTTCTACGTGTTTTTTCAGGCGGCAAGGCTACAAACCGACTCCGTTTGACCTTTTTTTTGGCTTTTTACCCTTATTTCCCACATTTTTGCATGAAACACGTCACACGACAGCCCAAAAACAACGTAGAACAACAGCCAAAACACTTAGGATTTCCGACCCGAAAAGTTAGGTTCAACACGGTGTTGAACTTAACTTTTTCTTTGGTCTCTAACTTTTTTTTGGGGTCAGAGTCACTCGATTTCGGGATCTAAGCCACCCACAACGCACTGCCATGTCCATCCCTTTTACTCCCAGATTAAGCCCGAACAACCAACCGTCCCAACCCTTTCAGCTGCAAACCGCCAAACACAGCTGACACTTGGATTTCAGGGGGGGGGGGGTCTATTTGTTTTTGGATTTTTCCGTTTTGTAAATCGGACGTGTTTTGCTTTTGTTGGGCTTCTAAGCCCTGAACCCTAAACTCAAAACCATAAACCCTAGACCCTAGACTCTAGACCCAAACAAACAAATAAAACATCCAAAAAACAAAGCAAAAACAGTTCCTAAAACAATTCTCCCTGCAAACAGCTATTGCCCATTTACAGCGCCGAAAACGGTCACCCGACAGCCGAAAAGACCAGTAGAGAAACCACCCCGGCAAGTTAGCAACAAGACGTTCAACGCCTGGTGTTGATCTTAAGGGTTTTCACCGACCTTGACTTTGTTTCGGCTCGAGCCATCACATACCAGGAACAATGACAGGTAGTTAATTTCGCATGGGTGTGGCACCCGAAAAGTTAGTAGCAAAAACTGGCTGGCAAAATCAGCTACAATAGTTCCAACACCCCATGTTGAACTTAAGGCTTTCACTGACCTTAGCTTTTTTTTCGCCTCGAACCAACGCAAACCAGAAAGAAATGACAAATAATGCCTTGCGCATGGTTGTGGCCGCCCGAAAAGTTCGTAGAAAAGAGGTTCTGCAAAATTAGCGACAACACTCGCAACACACTGTGTCGAACTTAAGGGTTTTCTCTGACATTTATGGTGTTTTCGGTTCCAGCTATAAACCGCGGGTGCAACTGGAGCAAATGCGCGTGAGCCCGCTGCAAGCGCTTAACTTGGAAGTGAAGGTCAGCCATGGCAAGGCTATAGGGGGGTAGGGTTTGCTGACCTGATTTTTCGGAATCTCTCGGGACTCTCGGTCTCATGGAAGCTCATCGGTGGGACGCTGACCTTTAACAAACCGTAAGACATGCTTGCTCGCCGCTGTGGGCGCGCAGAGCCTTCAGACGGCTGTTCACTCTCAAAGAAGCAAGCATGCACCCCCAACCCCTGTGTCAGGAGTTAGCGCGGGTTGGTGTTGAACCGACATGCTCCGCGAAATTTACCAGTTTAGGGTTTAGGGTTTTAGGTTTAGGGTTTAGGGTTTAGGGTTTCTTGCAGAGCTGTATCTGGCATGGGGTTGCAATTGCGGGGGGGAGTTCGGATCTCTGCGCGAGAAGTCTACACGCTCCCGCAAAAACCGAATCGTTGTTGTTCACAGCCGACACGCCTCAGGAATCCTCAGAAAGGCTTGAAAGTCTAGACATTGGCCTTGTCAGCTACGTAGAGTATCCCATAAACCCTTCAACACAGGACATGTAACTTAGTTGTTGCTTCTTGTTCCTGAAGGGTACTTGCAAGCTGTTTTGACTTTTGAAGTAGGGTTACTGAGGTGGGTTCTGGGGACTTTAAGCGGGCTTCTAGGGGATACCAAGTAGACTTAGCAAGTCAACAGGGTTTCCAAGTACCCAAAAAACCCTGAACCCTAAACCCTATGTAGGGCCTGAATAAATTAGAATAGGGCTTTGGGGGATATCATAGTAAAGCGATAAAGGGACCCTCAGGGAGTGCTACTAGTAATTATTCCGACCCCTGTATCACTGTAGTTAACATGCGCTCCACCGTTGAGGAACTTAAACGATGACACCATGAATTAGAACAACTAGACTTGCAGCTAATGGTACCGCACGCCACCTTGTTCCCAGCCCTTCCCGGGACGCTAAGCCCTACCCCTCAACCGTAAACCAGCCGAAAACCTCCTAAAATGTTGGGCAGCCTGCTTTCAGGATTCCTTGCAAAGAACTTCTTAATCCTAAACCCTAAACCCTAAACCCTAAACCCTAAACCCAAGCTTGCCTCGGCCAAGGAGGTCCACAGGGCATCGACCAGCTGCGCGATGACACCTTCCCGTTTACTCGAAGCGCGGCTGATCGAAAGGCTCGTGCAGAGCTTTCGAAACTGTCCCCTACTTGTTTGGGTTTAGGCTTTAGGGTTTAGGGTTTAGAGTTTAGGGTTTCGGGTTTAGGGTTACAGGGAGGTTCATGGGTACTTATAACCACAGCTATAAGTCTACTTGTATAACCTACTTCGGGGACTTAGGGGGCGTACAAGTAGAGTTAGAATTAAGATTCTAAGTGCCATGAACCTCCAAGTCCCTTAAGAAACCAAAGCCTACTTTTGGGTAGGTTGCCTAAGAACTTTTATAAGGGGTCTTATCGACATGACCTACCAAAACAAGTATGTTCGGGGCTCTTGAGGTACACCCGTACACCCCTAAACAATCTGTACAACGACTTCACGTGTGGTTGGGGCCCCAGGCCCTAAACCTAAACCCCAAACCCTGAACCCTAAACCGTATGCCGTAACCAAAGGCCCTGGACGCAGACCAAAGGCCCTGGACGCAGCGGAAGCCCCACAGGCCCTAGAGCTTGGCATGATGAGCCCTTGTGAGGTCTCGTTCTCCTTTACACTAAGGATCCATGTGACTATACTTGGAGGTTCATGGTACCTGTACTTATACCCCACTTATAAGCCCCTTAAGTGTACAGTTATCAGTACAGTTACAGTTATAATTGGTTAAGAAGTACCATGAACCTGCAAGTATATGGTATATACTTGGGGCCCCAAAACTACTTTTTAGGAATCCCTTTCAGGCCCAAGTATATACTATAGAGGTAAAGGTACATGGATCCCTAGGGTCTAACAGGGTGTCAACATTTTCGCACTACATTTTTTGCTCTGATGATTCCTCGAATATGATTCCTCGTATACCCCTCAGCTTCCAAGGACGTGCTCGATTCGTTTCGAGGGTCCTGACGGACCCAGTGCATAACCCCCTGGTTCTTAGCAGGGGAATGATAAAATAGGGCCCTGTAAATACCCTTTAAGGGATAAAAAGGTGCCCCCATTCCCTGATTCCCTACTAAGAACCAGCCAGATAAGGTTAGATAAACTCCCACATCCTGCCTTCTGCATCGCCGACCGAGGACACTCCCCAGTGTCTCGCCTCGCGCACGAGCTCCTCTCAGCATCGCATCTCACGACAAGGCTTGGCTTAGGCATCATCTGCGCGATCGAGCAAGCTCCCTTAAACTGAACCCGACCCCTCGCTCTGTCCCAAACTCCTCGTGTGGGTGGGTACCATAGTGGTAGTAGTGGTAGTGGTAGTGGTAGTCTTGCCAGTAGTGGTGGTAGTGTTTTAGTGGTGGTGGTCGTCGTAGTCGCCCATGGCGCGCGTAGAGTCCAGCACAACGAAGTCTACAGGCCATATGAGCCCTCAAAACAATATCCTGTCCACACGCACTCACTTCCTGCATTTCGAGGGGGAGGGCTGCCCGGAATTTAAGAGCACAGTACCGAGATGGCAAGGAGGCCCGGGAAACAAAAAACACAAGCGCTCGAACTCTGCCCTACGTTGCACCCATGTTTGGAGCGATAAACTTGTTAGGGACCAAATGAACCCAACAATTGGAGACATCGACCCTATATAGAAAGACTACTGTAATCAACATAACCCTATAACGCTAAACCCTACACCCACGTGATCCATACACCTGGTCCCCCCAAGGCTAACTGCAGTAGAAGCCGGCAAGCTGTCCGAATGAGGCAGCGCATCCCACAATGCGATGGCCAATAGGCAAATGGCTAGCTCGCGCCTGTCCCGTGCAAGGGTGATTTAGGCTTTAGGGTTTGGTCACCGGGCTTGGGTATAGTATAGGTTCTTCGGACAGGATTGCGCCGGGTTTGGTGGCGTTGAATATTCAGTTACTACGGTGTCCAGGAACGCGCTTTGTGAGTTGCTTCTGGTCTGGAGTTCAGGTTTCAGGCATCGGTTTTGATGCGAAACTAGGGCTGCGACTTCGCAGGTGAGTGGCCGTCACCCTGTCAGTGCGACGCGAATAGGAGCTCAGCCGACCTGTACCTTGCGGACCACATGAACCCTAAAGGAGTTTATGCTTCATATACCTTGCTAGGGATTACAGTGGTATAGGGCATATGACCCCAATCTTAGGGTTCAGGGTTCTTTTGGCCCTCAAGGTACATACACATATGATCTCGCAGCAGCAGCCACTTGTCTGCTAGGCCGTTTTGGAACACCTCCTCGCACGGTGCGTGCCGTAAGGATTGGCCAGGCAAATCGGTCTCGGGTTCATCACATCCCCGAACGAGCCTTGTTGTCGCAAGCACCATTGTGCACCGACTTCTGCCCAGCGTAGAAGCGCCAAGAATTACTAGACCCAGGAGTTACCCAGGAATAGAAAGGGTACCCTTTTGGGTTTACGGGAACCCAAACCTTAGAAAAGGGAACACGGGCCTACTCTGGGTCCTAGATTACAATGATAGCAAGGGATAATCTTTCTGGCTCGCAGTAGGCAGCCAGGAAATTAGGGAGGGATGACATACCTATTTCCCTCACTCACAACCGGGAACAGGTAAATAATTTACTTCGAACATCCCCACCTTAGGGATTTGGATTTGGGCACTGCAGGGAGTCTCTGGGGTTGGGCATTTCAGGGAGTCTCTGGAGTTGGGCACTCCAGAAAGTCTCTGGAAGTAGGCATTTCAGGGAGTCTCTGGGGTTGGGCACTCCAGATTCTCTGGGGTTGGGCACTCCAGGGAGTCTCTAGGAGTAGACCGGGCGAGGAGAAGGGTTCCGGGCGAGGAGAAGAGGCGAGTTTAAAATCCAACAACCCCACACCGAAGGTGGGGAACTATTTCCCTCACTCACTACCAGGAACAGGTAAATAATTCAACTGCATCCTAGTCCTTGCATTAAGACGTCGTCTTGCACGGAAAGCACACCTAGACCCAGGAGTAACCTAGGACAAACGGGTAGCCTTTTTGGTTTTAAGGGGCTTAAAATTATAAGGGAACCCCAACCCCAAAAAAAGGAAACAAGGGCCTACTCCGTGTCCTAGACACTGTTCCAAAAACCCGGAGCACAGCGTGATCTAATTCGACGAGCCATTCGACAGACCGGGGGGTAGAATCCCGAATTCGGGCTGCGAGACATAGCAAAGCATCCTCCTCGAGGTTCAGTCCTTATCTGAATGCTATGGACTGTTAAGGCATAGCAGGAATTTCAGAACCTTTCGATTTCCATCATTTAGAACAAATTGTTGCTGCCAGTTCCTGAATCTCCCGAAACCTACGAGCAACACATGGATGCAGTTCTAAAACTGACAGATGCAGTTCTATCACGATGACGATAGGCTCAAAACAACCAGTACCAATTTTAAACCCAGCAAAACCGCTCGAAAAAGCTCAATACTACACAGGCTGGCCCCTGTTCCCCATGAATTCTTGAGGCCGTTAGGGTTTAGGACATAGGATTTCGGGTTTAGGGTTTGGAGACCGCCTACAGGCAAGGCCTGTTGGCTGAGCGCTAAATTGGTTCGGCGAGAAGGCCAGACCCTAAACCCTAAACCTTAAACCCTAAACCCATCGGGTTAGGGTCCCTGTCCCCCAACCCCCTGCCCTCGTACCTAGAACCCTGTAAGGATCCAAAAAATCGAACCGCCAAATCGTGCCCTCGACTACTATTGGGTCATGCTGGGCAACGAAGGGGATCTACTTTTTTGAATCCTCCCAGAGGTCTGGACATGTACCCTCAGCAACAGGTCGGAGAGCCCACCTTAAACCCTAAACCCTAAACCCTAAACCCTAAACCCTAAACCCTAAACCCTAAACCCTAAACCCTAAACCCTAAACCCTAAACCCACCTGTCCCGGAGGACGACGAAGGGAAGCTCCCGCATCGCGCACTCCAAGCGCAAGGCTTCCAGAGGCTCCTCCTGGGGCCGGCCGGGGTTTAGGGTTTAGGGTTCAGGGTTTAGGGTTTAGGGGTTTAGGGGTTTAGGGGTTTAGGGTTTAGGGTTTAGGTTTTAGGTTCTAAGTTTTAGGGGTTTTATGTTGGAATGTCGTTTGCGGGCCCTCCCACTTACACAGTTTCATGGGGTGGCCAATGCTATCTCTCGCAGGCTTGACGTTTATAAAAGCCTGAGAGAGAAAGGTTGGGATGTTCCTTCTTATACTAACAGTCCTTACTAGGGATTATGAGAGGGGGTACTTTAAAAAAACCCTATTAAGGACTATCAGTATAAGGGGGAACATCCCCAAGTTTTGGATGTTTGGGTTTACGGCTTCGGGTTTGGGACGCAGTCAGGGCTTTGAGGCTTCAAAGGTTTTGTCTGGACCAACAAGGCAGCCAAAGGTGTCGAAGACGCAGTCGACCTTTCCAGTGACAGCTGCGATTTAGGGTGTCAGGATTAGGGTTTAGGGCTGCAGCAAAACAGATGTCCAGGGCTCACGGCTGCGAACAAGAGCGTTGAGCAGCAAGCTGGGCAGACTTGCCATGCAGACTCATGTGGTTGGTAGGGACAGGTACATTCTTGAGCCATGGCTATCCAGCTTCACTGTCTTGAGGTCTCTGAAGCCGTAACCCAAAGACAGTCACATGTTCTCGGTCATGGAGCTAGCCCAAAGGGCCTACACCCCTGAATTCAGGAATGTACCTAAACTTAGATATAGGGATCCTGAATACTTTCAGGTACATTCCCGATTTTACGGGGTATAGGAGGCACAGGGGACACTTGGGGTCTCGATGCCCTCAAGCTTCAGGGCGTTGGAGGACGTCGACATGGACCAAATTAGCGAAGGTAGCCGTAGCGGATTCTGGCAAGTTGTTATGTGTGGGGTTACTTAAATAAGACCCCTGATGTAGACCCCCAAATAACAGGATCCCCTTGAAATAAGGACCCCAATCAAGGTACCCCGAATTTCCGAAACCCCCAGAAAAGGTTTCGAGCCACACAACAAGTTTGAACATGCGGGGAAAGTGGTGCGCCTGTTCGGTTTTCGAGTCAAAAACCCTAAGCCCTAAACCCTAAACCCTAAACCCTCCTGAATGGCTCGAGTCCTCCAAGAGCTCCAGCTCCTCACTGATGTCGCACGCGGCTGCAAGATGCTGAAGCCTGTGTAGGGGTTCAGGGGTTTAGGGTTTAGGGTTCGGGGTTTAGGTTTTAGGGTTTAGGGGTTTAGGGGTTCAGGGGTTTAGGGGTTTAGGGGTTCAGGGGTTTAGGGGTTTAGGGGTTTAGGGTTTCAGGGTATTAGGTTTAGGGTCAGGCTTTGAGGCTATGTAGGGGTTGAAGTAGGCTTAGGAAGTGTTGGCGCTGGCCGAGGAATTTAGGGTTTGATTGTTTTGTTTGTGCTTATTTACTTTTACTTGTTTGTTTTTTCGCCATTACTTCCTTTTTCTTCCGTATGTCTTCTTCATTCTATTGACCCTATGTCGTTTTGTATTTCTTTCCGTATTTTACTGATTTTGCAATATATGTTTTGTTGTATGTTAGGTGCCTTTCTTGCTTTCTGCATTTATATGTTTTTGCATGGTTCTTTTGGTCCTTTCTGTTATTCCTTTCTTTGATGACTTTATGGGGCTTTCTGCCCGAAGGAGAGAAAGAGAGAGAGAGAGAGAGAGAGAGAGCCTTTCAAGAATCATCGCCCGCAAGCCCAAGGCCTGCGCAATCGACACTTCACGGAGCTTTCTAAGCGTTGTTGGAGAAAGCAACCGTAAACCCTAAACCCTAAACCCCCCCTAGAAGCCTAAACCATGAAACTCAGCCAAAGTCCCAACGACACGGTTGAACTCAACGAAACTGCAGGCCTCCTGCGCGGAATGCCTTTGGCCTCCAACCTGTCATAGCAGGGCGCATGGAAATTTTAGGAGGCCTTGACTGGAGATTGGGTTTAGGGTTTAGGGTTTAGGGCTAGAGTGGGAGCTTCACACGTTCCTGTTGCCCAGGGGTACGAAATGCAGAGGGAAAGTGCATGCATGCTCCCCTTGTGGGAGCCGGAGATGGCATGGACGTGCCGTTTAGGTTTGTGGGGCTTAGGGCTCATGGTAGGGTTTAGGGTTTAGGGTTTGGGGTTTGGGGTTTAGGGTTTAGGGTTTAGGGTTTAGGGTTTAGGGTTTAGGGTTTAGGGTTTAGGGCCATAAGCCTCAAAGAGCTGCCAAAATGAAGGCTTCAAGCATAGGGATCCGGCGTACCCCTGAGATCGTTGGAGAGAGTTTGTAGTGGGTCCTTAAGGGAGGGGAAGGTTCAAGGGAGGTTCAAGGAGGGTTTAGGGTTTAGGGTTTAGGGTTTAGGGCTAGGGTTTAGGGGGTTCTGTAACCCAAGGCTCCCCAATAGTCCCTGCTACTCCCTAAGGCTCTCTAAGCTTCCCTAGATTTCCATAGGCATCTACCCCCATGAACCCCCTCCCTTAAGAACCCTAAACCCTAAACCCTAAACCCTAAACCCCAAAAAAGAGTTCTTGGGACGCTGGCTCAAGCTCTCCATCTCCAGCACACTGCGGAGGGCGCAGGCACAGACGCTGGCCACCTCTGCAGGTCTCTTGCTGGCCCTACTTGTAGCAGACCTTGGGATGTTCCCCCTTATACTGCGGTTTAGGGTTTAGGGTTTTGGGTATGGGGATTATAGTACCGCAGAATAGAATTCCTATTAAGGACTGTTAGTGCAAGGGGGAACATCCCAGAGCAGAGCTGATGAAGGGCTGAACCAAATTGTAAATAAAGCCCAGGCCCCCCCCCCCCCACCAGCCCGCCCGCAAAAAAAAAAAAAAACACATGATGGTAGTGTGGAAGTTTGCAGCGTCGCAAGAAGCATTACATCTTAGACTAGGCCCATGGATTTAACCACAACATCCAAAGCGTAGAGTATAGTCGAGGTTTCATGATCCCGGCTGGATTGTCGTTGATTTTCAGTGCTGGCTGAGGACTGGAAACAGATTTTCATGATCCGGCTGGCTGTCGATGATTTTCAGTACTGGCTTAGTACTGGAATCCAGGCTGGATTGTCGTTGATTTTCAGTTGTTGCCAGGAACGTTATCGCTTTCCACCGTGCTTCTCTCTCTCCTACGAGTTTCTCAATCCTCTTGTCAAGCCCTGTTCGGAGTCTTTTGCCTGTCGCCCATTTGCGTAATCAATGAAAATAAAAATCCTATATTACCCTTATAAGGAAGAATATTTTAATATTTTGGGGGGGAAGCAAGTCGCAGTCAAGGGGGGGGGCAAGAAATTGAACCTCTCAAGTCTCGGCCGCCTCGGTCGAAGACCTCATCGCTTGGCTGGCGCGTGCGTGCTGCAGGCCTGAACGGTTCTTGGATTTGAACAACTGAGTGTTGGTTGCAGTTGGCCTAAACCCTAAACCTTAAGCAAATGGTGGTTATGCTAACAGGTCATTAATAGAGATTCTAGCAGAGGGGTACTACAATCCCCACTCAGGACTGTCAGTACAAGGGGGAACAACCCCCTTAAAAGGGACACCCCAAAAAGGCCCCCCCCCCCCCCATGTTCAAGAGAAAAAAACGAATGAAACCAAAAACCAAAAAACTCATCATGGTCCTGTCGAAGGGATCGCAGCTGTACCCGGCAGCTTTCGCATCGCAGGCTGGCGCGCCTCTGACGCAGCTGCGGGCTTGGACGATTTCGGGTTTCGTGCTTCGGGTTGAAGGGTTAAGCGTGTGCGGTTCAGGGTTTAGGAGTAAACCCTAAACCCTAAACTCTAAACCGTGGATTGAGGGTTTTGGAGTTCAAGGTTGTGCAAAGCCTGGGATGAACAGAGTAAGTACACGGCATGGGGTAGCAGTGTAGCCCTAAACCCTAGACCGCAGCAACGTGCCCATGAAGTCTCTTAGCCTAACCCAAAGAGCCCTTATGAGTAACATGCCTTAAATTATGCAGAGGTCCTGAAAATGAGTTAAGTAAGGTCTATTCCTTAGTTACGAGGTACAAAGAGGTCTTTGCGTAACCCCAAACCCTTTTCTTCTGAGCCGTTAGCATAGCAAGACACACCATTCGGTGACTATTCGGGAGGAATCCAATCAGTACCTCATGTGCACGTGGCGAAGGAACCTTCACACATCCTTCAACCTTAAACCCTCATTGAGCCCCAAAATCCCGAAACTCCCTTAACCCCTGAACAGCCCTGACTAAACTCTCCCAGATTTCGTACATCCCTCAACAAACCCTAGAACGGATCAGCCAAGTACTAGAAGCAACCACCAAGCGCGTGGCGTCGGGGCTTTGCCGACTGCTGCGTTACAAATGCCAAGTCGAAGGCATGCATGGCCAGCAGGAAGATTCGGTTCTCGATGCTGTCTCCTACGTATCCATCTACTTGGAAACTCTGTTGACTTAGTAAGTCTACTTACGGTTTAGGGTTTAGGGTTAGCTGCCTCCCCAGTCGGGTGCATCGGTGTTGAACTGCAGGGTGTGGGGCTTACACGTGTTCGGGACGTCAGGGGTTCTCAAGTGCCTCATGCTTCTCGGACTCTGTGCAGAAGACGGCGGAAAGTGCGGCCGGATGCGGCAGGACATTCTTTTAACAAGCCACACTCTGCCCGCTGAACGCAAAATCCAGCCCAGAAACTCTCCCTAACCCCCTTTTTGCAGCAGGTCTCCTCACCGGAGTCCAAAACCGTAAACCCTAAACCCTAAACCCTGAACCCTTCGTGCACCAAGACATTGCCTAATTTTCTTCTGCACCGTGCGCGCTCACCTTGTCGAAATGCGTCCCCGCAGCTGCATTGTGTGGCTTGGCATTTTTCTAAGGGTCCAATACCCCTAAAACAAGTTTTATTCCTTTTGGGATGTTCCTGCTTATACTAACAATCCTTAATAGGGATTATAGTACCCCCTAATGTGATTTATAATCCCCACTGAGAAGTGTTAGTACAAGGCATTTAGAACCAAAAACGCAGTTCTTAGGGATTTTTTTGTTTAGGGGTTTAGGGGTTAGGGGTTCGGGTCTAGGTTGTGTAGGGCTTTCGGAACTAGCCCTAACCCTAACCCTATAACCCTAAACCCTAAACCCTAAACCCTAACCCCAAAACCCCTAACCGTAACCTTAACCCTAACCCGGGTTTCTAGTCGGCCAATGTGAAGGACGTGTCGAGAGCCCAGTGCACCCACTCAGCAGCGAGTCCCTGAGAATTCAGTTCTGTGGCAGCCTCTTCGGAAGCAGCCCCTCTTCTAGGACAACGAGTCAAACCCTAAACCCTAAACCCTAAACCCTAAACCCTAAACCCCCAACATCGGGCCCGCCCAGGCTTCACCCAGCCTTCCGGATGACCCTGAGCCCAGCCACATGTTCTCTCTGTCGCAATACCCCGAACCCAAAACCAGCCAGTTAGTCAGATAGGGCTTAGGGTTTACGGTTTAGGGGATTAGGGTTTAGGGGTCGCAGTACCCTGCTTGGAGGTTCATGGTACTTCTAGCCCTAACCATAACTCTACTTATCAGCCCCCGAAGTCCCCTAAGTCGGGTGATAAGTAGACTTGTAGCTGTGGTTACAAGTACCCATGAACCTCCAAGTGAACCCCAAACCAGTCTACCAGAGGGGCCTTAATTTGAATCTAGAACAGGGTTTTTTTGGGAGGACTATCGTATAATCATACAGGGACCACAAGGGAATACGCTTAGTGATTCTTCCTTCTTCCGGCCCCTATCTTGCCTAAAGACTTGGGAGCTACTTTGTGCCGGAGCACAACCCCTTGCACCGTAAGTCTGAACATGTCTCCGCTCTGCCCGAAAAGTCCATGTGACTACCCAGACATCCCAATGCGCCTTAACTAAGGCATATATACATATATACATATATACATATATACATATATACATATAAAGACCCGCAAAACTCTGACTTGGGACTCAAAAGTCGGTTTGGGACGTGTCGGGTTGAGGGTTCACGGGGTGGGTTGTTTTTGTTAGGGGCGTTAAAGGGGCCCTTACTATGATTTTCAGGTATGTTCCTGCATTAAGGGGTATTGGGTTCTCTGGGTACAAAATATCAGCATACATACACCTGTCAAAAATCAAGGTAAAAGAAGGAAACACGATAATGTATGGGTTTGCCCTAAACCCTCCAACCCTAAACCCTAAACCCCTTGAACCCCCCTCCCTTAAAACTGATGTACACATGCCTATTTCCGAAGAGGCCCCGCCTGGGCAACTACGGGGGCCTCCGGGGGCGGCGTGCATCGTCTAAGGTCGGCAAGAGAGGCACTTGAAGGTTCATGGTACTTACAACCCATTTAGGGTTTAGGGTTTCTGCAGCATTATCTAGGGTTTAGGGTTTAGGGTGTAGAGTTTAGGGTTTAGGGTTTAGGGTACTTCTGAACTTGTAACCCACTTATAAGCCCCTTAAGTGCCCTACCATGGTTATAAGCACGGTTTTTTCGGAAAGTTAGAAGTAAAGCTAATGAGTACCATGAACCTCCACGCAACCCAAGTGTCTGTGTGACGGCAGGTGAGCGCAGCAGAGATCGGTCTGAATGGAGCCAAAACGACCCCGAATGGGCTCTCTGCCTCACAACTTACGGTTGGTTAGCAGGGAATGAGGGAATTAGGACCCTATATCCCCTCATTCTACCCTTTAAGGGTTTACATAGGGTACCTCATTCCCCCATTCCCTACTAACCAACAGTAAGACACATCCCTTTCGGAGAACCTTTACTAGCTCATGGTTGGGGTCGTATTGAAAATTTGAATGGCTATTCTTTACAGATTGGGTTTAAGTACCCTTGAAGATGTAAAACGTTGCCCAACTATTTTATAGTACAGACTTCGTGTTTAACGAAGGTCTATACTTAGAGGATATTATAGGGTTGCTTGTGGGACTTGTGATTTCCAGGAGAATGGACAGCAGGGGCCCTAAACCCTAAACCCTAAACCCTAAACCCTAAACCCTAAACCCTAAACCCTAAACCCTAAACCCTACACCCTAAAGCCCTTGACCCTGAAAACCGACTCCGAGGGCGAAGCGAGGAGTGCCCCCCCCCCCCCCCCCCCTGTATGTACACGCTAAGCCCTGAAGAGCTGAAGGCCTAAGACATCCTAAAACTATAAACGAGCGAGTGCTTGGGAAAGTTGATTCTTTGGCGTGTTTTTTAATTAAAGGGGGTGGGCGGGGGGGGGGGGGTGGGTAGGAGGCAGGGTCTCTGCAACTTGAGGCACACTCGCATTGGGTGGGCTTGGTGCTCTGGGTTCGGGTTGAAAGTTGAAAGGCTTGGGGCCACGTCTGTCCGACGTCCCATTTCTACGAGTTGTCTAGTCCGAATCCGAAGCATGATGCTGTTTGAAGGAAGATGATCAGGACATGCAGCCGTATGTTCCCTAAACCCTAAACCCTAAACCATAAAAGATGCCCTGAGCGCCAGGACCTCTGCATCGCAACTCGCACCATCTCCATACAGCTTGAGCTTTTGAAGGGCAGTTTCAGGAGAGGGTGTTCTCGTGTAGGGTGTTTAGGGTTTCGGGCTCAGGGTTTAGGCTTTAGGGACTGTTACAAGGGCATGCTATAGGGCACTAAGGGTTCGAAAAAGGAAGCGCAACGTAACGGGCAGGTGATGTCGGTTTTAGGGTTGAGGGTTTCCACGCTCACTCTCGCACAAGGCTGGCAAACTTCATGGGTCCATCGAGTCAGACAACTAACTTCGGAGGAGAGCAACACAATGTTGGGGTTTAGGGTTTAGGGTTTAGAGTTAGGGTTTAGGGTTTAGGGTTTAGGGTTTAGGGTTTAGGGTTTAGGGTTTAGGGTTTAGGGTTTAGGGTTTAGGGTTTAGGGTTTAGGGTTTAGGGTTTAGGGTTTAGGGTTTAGGGTCCACCTGAAACTGCCCCAGATGCCATGTGCGTGACCCCGGAGAGTTTGCGCCGATGTATCAAATGGGAACTCTACTTTGGGCCTTAGGGTTTAGGGTTTAGGGTTTAGGGTTTAGGGTTTAGGGTTTAGGGTTTAGGGTTTAGGGCCCTTCTTACCCATGCCACACCCCCCCCCCCCCCCCAACCCCGACCTCGACCCTGAACCCCTCTTGTGTCCACCCCAAAGCCATCTGTTAAATCCACCCTAAGCCCTAAAAGGCCCGAAGCCTCAACTGCATCTCCAAAAAATATCCCTTCATTGGGTCACCTGAATCGGGTTTAGGGTTTAGGGTTCTGTACCTTGAAACCGAACAATTTCAGGACTGAAGTTCTGACCTCACCCTTCGGTGTGCGACGCTCACACACGCACACCGGCGGGCGGGCAAATCAGGCAATGTTAAGGGCTTTGTTTGTAGGTTCAGGGATGCTAGAATACTGTAACTGCATAGTATTCGCAATTGCGTGTCCTTGGCTGACTCCGGGGAAATCACGCGCCATTGTTTTGCCGCGTCAGCATATGGGAGCCAAGCACAGGCACTCCCAAGCGGATTTCTGCGTCCATCATTCCTTCACACTTCTTTTTGGTCTTTTCACCCTAAACCCTAAACACTACAACCTGAGCCACGGGCTCTAGCTCCCAGAAAAACCTTCGGGATCCTAGCACGCGCTTCCTTAAAATCTCAAACCGACCTACTTTTGTTGTTGCCCAAAAAAGGTCCATGTACCTTGATCATGGGACTTAACCTCGGTCCCCTAAGGTTGTCCCCTAAGGTTGCACGGGGACCCTCTTTAACGATCTTCCAAGAAAACATAGGTGCCGCATTAGGAGTTAAATGAATGGAACCCCCTCAACCCTAAACCCTAAACCCTAACCCTAAACCCTAAACCCTAAACCCTAAACCCTACTCTTAGCGGCCCTTTGCGGGGGATATGGGGGGAGGGTAGCAACAGGCCCACAGTGAAGGTCCCTAAGGTGGCCCATATACACTTCTTAACACAAAACATGCTAATGATTACGTGTGTGTATATATATATGTGTGTGTGTGTCTATTGGCTTATTCATTTCTTTACACACCCTTTTATGAACTCATTGAGTGAACTAAGCCAATATTTGAGGACCAGCTGTTTTCTGTTTTATCTGTTGGCTGTGATGCCGGGCAGAAGTTTGGAGTTGAGAGTTCACTCCCTTGCTCTTCCTACTGCAATTTAAGGAATGTTGGGTCTAGGGATGAGGGCGAGGGTTCAGGGTCTAGGGTTTAGAGTTTAGGGTCGCAATTGAGGGATATGTCTCCATACCCTACACCCCGACTCCAACCGCAAAGACCAAACCTACACTCTGAAGCTCACGCACGACAAGTCTTCTTTGGAGGTTTCCCAAAGAATAGGAGTACCCTGCTTCGATCAAAAAGCCTGATAATTCGTTGGGGG